TCCCGATCCTGACTACAAAAAGACACAGTAATCTTGTCTCATTTTCAATGACTTCAATTCAAGTCACAACTTTAAAGAGCATCAGCAACTTAGAATAAGAACATATAACAAATGGATACCTTTATCTGGTGCCATAAAATAAAATATAAAGATTCCCCTGCAACAACGAGAGAAGTAAATGGTTTTACAGGGGAGGGAGGAAAAGGGTAACTAAAACTTAACTAACTGAGGGAGTTCAACGAAATCAAAATCAGGTTGAACTGTAGCTAATGAAGCTCAGGGTGCAGTGTGACGGTAAGTAAAATTGCAGAAGACATTGCAGGTTCACTTTGAAACCTCTTCGCTGCAACATGGACAGCAAAATACCTATATTCCACCATCCTAGGAGTCGAAGAATTCGCATAACTAGCTTTATGAGAGCAAAATCAAAACACTTGAACATATAAAGTTTATGTATGGTATCATGAGATTCTCTACATCTACTTCCGAGAACATTCCAACTAATTGAAGTAAACTAGACACAACGTTCTATCATCAATTACCATCATCAAATTTAAACCAAATTCTACACGAAGACTAAACAGAACTGGCATGCATAAAGTAGCTTCAGTAATCAATACCACCCGAATAAGAAAACGAATGAAAAATGTAAAAACAAAGGACACCAATTGTAGACACGGTAGTTGATAGCTTTAGCATTCTGCATATATCAACAAAGCAGGGGAACTATGAACGAAACATTACCAACGATAGTGGTTACGTGCACGAATCTATTTACTATGGCAGTATAGTAGTGTCAAAGAAATCATCCCATGAAACCAATCAAATCAATTTAGGTCTTAGTAGGTAAAGTAGTGGCAGACCTGTATGGAATGTGCTTGTGAGTTCAGCTATCCTGATAAGAAGAAAAATTAAACCAAAGAAAAAGACAATAATACAATTAGATCAGGCGAGAACAAAAGCAGAAAAGCTAACAACGTATATACTGGAAACAAAATTGACAGAGAGAATTTCCAATCTCTTGGACGAATTAAACATGAATTTATTTATCATATGCACGACTTAGAAACAGAGAAAATATTATGTGAGTTTTGTACATTACTACCTTAGTAACTTAGTAATATATGCTTTCATCATCTATGACCTACCCATGGTCAAGAAAATGGCAGAAGCTGCAACAACTGATGGAGGGTAGCAAAGCATGTTGTACTCCAGCAGAGATAGTTCACTGATGTAATTTACTAAGAAGCATTCGAACTGCATTGATGGGACCTCATCGATTACTTGAGCAGCTCTCACAAATCGTCTTCATAACAAGGGCCATGCAACGATAACAAGAAGTCAGCACATAGAAGCCAAGAAAAAGCAGAACTGCAGAAGGCAGTGCAATGGATGAATGCAAGTTACCAGTAAAGGAACGTCACTCAACAAGAAACCTGGAAACTTGTTACTTATGCAGTAATCATCATGGAGGCAACACCAAGCAATTGCAAACTTTGCTTGTTCATCACATTGCCGGAGAGATATCGATCAATGTATTTAACGGACAGATACAAGGCATCTGGCACAAGTATTACTTTTCTGCAACCTCCACAAACGTGGTTGATCATCTTCAGCAACCCAAAAAAAGACAGATGACTGGACAAATTGAGGTTTTGTCAAAGTAATTCACCTGCTGCTAATTCATTATCAGTAATATAGAGCTTGTTCAATGCCTTCTTGTTGATAGAATCAATCTCATGCAAATCATTATTGTTCACGTACTCAATATCACGGCTTTTGAAGGAATCACAGGAAGTTTCATCTCATTTAGTTGTAGCCACATTCATCTCACAGTAAGCAGGAGGCTTGACAATGCTTGAGTCAACTTCATGGCTTCTTCGTGCAGATGTGACCTCAATCTTAGTCGGTTTCACCACTGCCATAATTGAAAGCTCCAAGTATCAATAATCATGTTCACCTATTGCGCAATCAAGAACTAACACCAAAGACTGGCCAACTAGAGCAAAGAACGAATAAGTTAGATTTTAGAAAACTCAAAACCCCTAACCTGATTTCTACGGCGCTTGCTGAAGCACTCAAACGACCTCCTCGAACTCATTTTCCATTAAACCTTTGTTATGCAGAAAAACCACAACGAAAAATCACACCAAAGCATCACAACAAAGTAAGAATTAGAACATTAACCTCAACAGATAACTATCAGTTCTTACTTGATGCAAAGACCAATTCACCTGCGGAGAAGGAATTTGCCAGAGTTGGAGGCGGGATTATTCGCGATCAATTCCCCTGCGACAAGAGCTTCCAGAACCCTAGCTCAGCAAAGAGAAATCAGAGAGACAAAGGAGAAGGCCTCACAGTTCCGAGGCGGCGACCGTGCTCGCGATCAAAATCACATCGGCGCTGGTGAGGGATTGCACTCCATGGCTAGGGATTGGAGTGACGCTCGTGCTCCAGCGTATTCAGATTGCGTGTTCTCTCGACGATGCCAGGGGCGACTCGAGCTATAGGCCGTCTTTCGTGATCTCACAATGACGCCAGGGACGACCTCGTGCTCCTTCGCCTCCATGACTTTCTCAATGACGGCGGTGACGAGAGTGCCAATCCTGTCATCGGGGATCAAGATGACGGCGCCCTGGAGCTATCTTTGGGAAACTGGAATTGCCGGATCTCAACGAAGCAAATAAGGAATGTAAATTAAGAGGAGACGAGAGAAGATGAGAAATTGGAGTCAGAATCGGAATTGAGAAGAGAAGGAGGAGGAGGAGGAGACTGAAGAAGAAAATTCAGGTTTAGCGGAAGAAGGAAGGAGATAGAGGAGAAAAAAAGCGTAAAGACTAAAGATGGATTCTTATGCGTAACTATTACTACAGCCACTAAGTTTCAGTAATAGTTACATACAGTACCTACATTTTTATACAACAGCAACACAATGACAACCAAATAATTTAGTTGTTGAATTTTCTTATTAGATTTGCAACCAAATTGTTTAGTTATCTAAAATTTTGAAAATTCTTATTTAAACTCATAACCAATTATATTTGGTTGGATAAAAGTAAAAATTATTATATTACCAATTTTTTTGGTTGAAAAAGCTCCAAATGGTTGGAAAAAAGTATAAATACTTTTGCTACCAAATAATTTGGTTGGAAAAAAGTATAAATTCTTTTGCTACCAAATTATTTGGTCTCTTCTAGTTTTATTTGGTTATCGATATTTTGATTTTAATAAGCAACCAAATTGTTAATATTTTGGCTACCAAAATTTAATTGGTTGTAAATACTAACCTTTTCTCAACCAAATTTAGTTTGGTTGTAAAACTTTTGGTTGCGAAACCTACTTTTTGTTGTAGTGAATTGAAAATATTAGAGATGTTGATTTTTTAATCATTAAAGAAATGAAATAACAACTATAGCATTATAAATAGTAGAGAATTGTGGTTCACAAGTCACAACGATTTACAAATTTTCTGTAATTAAAATATGAGGTAATAAAAATATTATCATAAGTAATTGAGTAAAATCACATGAAATTTAGACAAAAAAAAAAAACATAACGAGAATGTAGCAAGTCAAAACGAATCAGTTAGAAGAAAGTAGTCATATCTGCGAGTCAATGTAGTCAAAATCGCGCTTTAAAACTTAAAATTTTTTTATTTTACGTTTCTAAGTTACTAAAACGCTTCAGCACAAAATCTCAACTTTTATAACTTACGTCGTTTTGATTTTACCACCATTCTTTCACCTCGTCGATTTACGCACCACGTACAGCACAATCTCCTACCCCTGCATCCATTGCCACCACAAAACAGAACATATACATATATGCAATGAACAAAGGAGATGTACGTGAACAAATGATATCAGAAGCCCCCATGCATCAATTGTAATGAAAATTTGGAGGAAGAAACAAACAAAATCACGATCGTCCTGTCGACGCCATGAATCAAGCGAAACCCACGCATCGTCCATGGCGTCTTCCTCGTCCCCTTGCGCAGCAGAGCACCGTCACCATTCAACTCATCACCATAAAAGCATCGTCCATGTGTCTGATTTGTTCTTGTTGTAACCCAAAATATATACTACCAACTACAGAAAAGGATAGACACGTGCAATACCAGCTAGTTTTTATAATCGAGATTCACCAATATCTACAACGGAGACATATGAATGGCGCAGTAGAGCACTATGCCGTATTTCATTAGAAAATTAGATACCGAAAAAAAATCATAGTTTTTTTTACAATATCAATTTTACACGTCGATATTTTAAATTTTAATGTAGTAAATTCATCAATGATGGAGTCTACATCCATACCAATATCATACTCTCTTTAAGATAAAATAGTTAACCAATTGACAAGAAATTCATCGCTGATTTTGTTGCGCAAATAATTTTTCACTTATTTCATTGTTGAAAAGGTTCTCCCCATAGTAGCTGTTGAAACGAGTAGAGTCAACAGTAGACAAATCAATCGACTAATCAATATATATTTCTTTTAGTCTTGTACGTTTTAGACTTTTAGAATTTTAGGTTTCATTGTTTGTTTTTCTTTAAACGAGAGAATTTTCAGGCTAAATTTAGAGTTGTGATTTGAATATGTTTATCTTACCCGTACAAATTTACTGTACACATGCAGTGATAGAGTAAAAACTCTCAACGAGGGAAGATGGATTAAAATTCTAAATAGTGAAGGGGCTAAAACCTTACCCACCATTCCAATTTCTAAATTTATTAAAAGTTTACATGTATTTTTATTTATATTTTAAAAGTTGAGAAAGCTAAATCCACATTTGACTTCAACCTATAAGCTCCACCAATGTACGCACGCAACCACCTTCAACTTATATATATATATATATATATATATATATATATGTTTCCAAGAGTAACAAAGGATTCTCCTTACATGAATAGAGTCGAACAAAAATATTAACAAAAATAACATGAAACAACCAACTTCGACCTTTAACCAAAGGATTCAGTTTTCCACGAATCACTAATGAATTCATCCCCTGTAGCTATTGATGAGCTGCTCTCACGGGCTTCAAAATATGTTCCTTGCATCGATTTCCCACCATTCCTTCACCTTGTAGATTTACGCACCACGCAGAGCGCAATCTCCTCCCCCTGCATGCATTGCCACACCAAGTCACCAACCAACACAGCGCATGAACAAAGTAGATGTGATGTTAATACGGTAACAAAAAAGCACGCTTAATCTTATACCTAGTCACGTCTAGTTGTTAGGTAATGTCAAAACGTCTCGTTTAGGAGTGTATCCGCTAAACAAATTGCATTGCAATGAAAAAATTGGTAATGAAAAAACAACTCACACTCGTCTTCTTCACACCGCTGATCAAACGAAACTCTCGCATTGACCATGGCGTCTTCCTCCTCCCCTTGCGCAGCAGGGCGCCGTCGCAGCTCAACTCATCGGCGTAAAAGCAATACAGGCTCTTCGCCGCTATTCTCTCTCCACCGTCGTTTTTGATCACGCTGTTTGATATCAGTAACCAACTCCCGCTAGAGGTGTCCATGTCGATCCCTCTTCGAAGCTTGCTTTCCGGTGACGCGAACACGTACACCCTCCCGTCGTCGTGGCAATGTATGTTATCCTTTGTATTTGCTACAATAGCAAACCGCGTGAAAAAAAAAACAAGTTACCCAACAATAATCCTCGCACGTGCGAAGTTTGAATATGGTTCTCAATGCTCTCTAGTGAAGGATTTCATTAATGGCGAGGTCTACTCCAAAATACTACCAAACTACTAAACAAAAATCAACGTAAGAAACTAAATTGGGTTTCAATTTTCTCATATATTAAACTAGAAAATTCTCATACTCGAAACATTACTTCCTTCCCCACAAGCAAACAAGACTAAACAATAACCTAGAAAATTTATAAATAGGAGGGTTAATAATAAAGATAGATACCCGAGCCCAATAATTAGTCCAATTATTACGATGACTTGATTCTCGTAACAAAACATTGTAAAAAAGAAGCATACCTGAACTGAGATCCTCGGGGTCGTAATCGAAGAAATCGAAAACAGAGCCATCTCCGCCCTCGATTTTGAGCTTCAGCAAACCCAGCAAGTCGGCTTCGGTGGGTTCGAATCCGATTCCTAGGGGGAATGACTCTTCCAATAAGTTGGTCATCGTGAAGGGTTTTCTGGGTGAAGAAGTAGAAGAATAGAAGAGAATATGCATATTTATAGAGGCGGATGACTGCAAAGGTTTTTTCCTTGTACGTAATAGGAACGGAAATTTCACAATTTGCGGCGATTGTCGTTAGTTGGGTTACAGAAAAACTGGCCCTTGGGCTTTTTTTGATTTGGAGCCCACATGGCGGGTCTCTTTGATGGTCCAAGCTATGGTGAAGAGAGGGGCCCATTTCCAAGCCCACCATGTGTCTGTAACTCTGTTGTCGACTTTGTCGTTCCTCGCGCTGATGCGCTTCTTCGTTTTCCATTGCATTTGCATTTCCAATCTCCCCAACGGCGGAGATGGCTCTCTGTCTCTAGTCTCTGCTCGCTGCTTCGCATTTCCATTTCTTCTCCCGCCTCTCTCTTCCCTTCCGATCTCTCTCTCGGATTCCATCTCCGGCGGGTTGTTCGCGTGCTTTAAACCCTTACAATCGTTGGCACTACTTCTTTCTTGCTATTCGAAACCCTAATTTCTTCTGGTCCCTAGCTCGCTCGCCGTCATGTCGAAAAGGATCAAGAAGAATGAAGCGTCGGAAGAGCAGCCGAACGAACTGTCGCTTAGGCTGCCAGTTGGATTTCCCGAGGATCTGTCTGATATGTTCTTGCTGAGGCTGCCTAGGGCTTGCTTTCTCTTCCGATTCCGCTCCGTCGCGAAGTCATGGCAGACTCGCTTCTTGAAGCCTGACTTCATCAAGAAGTTCATCTTCCAGAACACCGACCTCTGGAACGATCCACAGCTTCTAATCCAGCGCCGCCAGAAAGGCAGGTCAGTTTACTCTCTTCATTCTCACCGCTCGCTCCGTCTCGTCTCCGGCCCTGCTCAATTGGAAAAACTAGAATTGGGTTCCGGTAACTTCGAGGTTCGCTGCGGCTGTAAGGGTCTCTTCTGCCTTGCCGACGGAGATGGCAGCGGCTTCTCGAATATTGTTCTCTGGAATCCAGCAACCACGCAGACGAAGCTTCTGCCGGTTTCCAACCTCGATCAAGCTTTGGATGGGTATGCCCGGATGAGCGAGGTGATCGGGTTTGGTTTCGACCCGGAAAAGAATGACTACAAAGTCGTTCGGACTGTGGTTCGCTTTACCGCTGACGAGGACATAGAGGAATCTAGTGAGGTCTACAGCCTTAAAATTGATTCCTGGAGGACGATTTACATAAGGCCTCATGATCTTCCGGACACCATCCATTACTCGGTGCCATCTGAATCTGGTGATGGCAGATTGTTCTACTGGTGGGGACCATTGTTGGATTTCATTTCGTTTGATATGAGGAGTGAAGAGTGTGAGGGTATGAGATTGAGATATCCTGATGCATCGATGCAGAGAGCCTTCTCCGTGAGATCCGTTTCCTTGGTCAAAGGCTCGACGGTTGTCATATTTTCCGATAGAAGTATTGATCGTCATGAACCCAATGAGTTGCAGACATGGGTGAGGTTGGATTTTGAAGATAGAATGGCCGGCTGGATAGAGTTGTCCACCATTAAGAGCAACAAACTGAACATGTGCATGCATCCAGTGGGAATATGGAAGGACAAGAGGTGTTTCCTCCAGAGATACGAAGATGGACAGCTCGTGGTCGTCGATCTTGAAAAAGGAGAAGTCCTTCCCATTGAACTTCAGATTCAAGGAGATTGGGAATCATTCAAAATCTTCCCTTATACTCCATGTGAAGTTTCATTGGAGTAGTTGATCTTAGATTCCCTGCTTTGGAAAGAAACCATGCTTCCAAGCTGCTCTGGCTACAGTATTTCCGCTCTTGGTAACTCTTGACGTAGCGGACTTGTCAAAGAAACTCTGCTACTTGTCAAAGAAACTCTGATCTCAATTCAAGTTTCTAGATCCAAAGTCTTAGATTTTCATTTTGCATTGTAGTAGTTAGCGTTGTTCTTGTAAGTCTTGTCTGTGGGTTGTTAAGCCTTGTAGTAGTCAGTGTTGTGTTGTGTTAACATCAGCCTAATTGTAGTAGTTAACATTGTACGTAATTGTCGACGTTGCTTAGCAGATGGTCAACACTATTGCTGAAGTATTATCATCAATCTAGCTGTATGTATGTTTGATTGAATTAGTAGATGTGAAGCATTTGTCTGAAATTATGTATGTGCTCTAAGAAAACAGCAGAGAAATCTGAAGCTTGTTTTGAGTCTTGAGATGCTAGGTGTGATGGGAGAAGCCTTGGGAATGTGATTGCCGTGCCCTTGGATTGGTATGATCTTCCTGGTCATAGGAGACATGGAAGGACTATACCGTATTAAGCAACATACTTGCTAATTAGAAAGGAAGCCCTTGATGGGCTGCGTCAAATTCTTGATGGTGAAGTTGTATACTGGGTGAGCACTACCTTGCTTAATACCCTGAATATTGTAGGCGTGATCGCAAAAAAGTTGTGGAGATTTTGGTGAAGGACCTGAACCTGTTTGCTGCATCTTATGATTTGTTTAAGGAAATTGCACAGTTGTTTGGTTGGAGAACTTTAGGTGTCCCTTGCTGCTTACTATCTTTTGTGGTGCTTTCGTCGTTTGATGAATTATTGACAAGTATGCATGGAGATTGTTTTCTTACTTGTGCTTCAATGTGTGTTCCATCCCATGAAATATGAGCTCCTACCTCCGTTTCAAGTCATGGAGTGCTACAATCTTGTTGCTATTTTTCAATTCTATTAGGTCAATAATCTGCCTGTTGCATATGCCCGCACCAGCCACGAGCTTAGTTCCCTCCTACTCGTCCGATGATCTGCCTATGAATGTGCTATGGTTTTGAATTAAGGGCCAGCATAGAAGAGCATGTACTTCCTTCCATTGCTGCAGATTTTACTTCTTGGTAAGCGTCTGTGTGGATTGGCTAAACTTCAGTATTTGCTTGTCAATTTTTGGAAAGTGAATCAAATTTGGATATCTTAGATACTAAGTCCTCTGCCATCTGAGCTGCTCGGTACATTTCATGTCTTTGATGGAAAGAATGACGTTTCAGGTTCTCATAATGACATTTTTGTTTCTGAAGCTCGACATACTTCTATGTTTGAGAAGATTTTTTTGGTTCATATGTTGCTTGCTTATTCAATGCATTTAGGACTTTCCATAGCCAAGTGCTTTTGTCACATCTGTTGGCACAAACATGGGCGCTGAAGTCATGATATGAGATCTTGGAGCATGCTCGATAGAGTTACCGATTTGCATTTGTAGGAATCTGTTGCTAATGATCATACAACACCAATGAACCGCGTCATGTGGAGTCCCGATGGAGCTCTATTTGTTATATTGTCGTTCCACTTCTGAGGATCTAATGTTGTGCTTTTATGATATCCTTCGCTGTCTTATATCATTTAGGTTAGCTGAGTCTTTGAGTCATGCTAGTAGAGATGCCTTGTGAATCGTTGGTTAGCTTGTTGAAGTCCTGTTTGCAATGTTTTGGCACTGTGTTTAACTGTCTTTGGGGTCTTGTCATTGTTTCATAGGGATAGGGGTCTTGTCATTTTTATAACATGAGTATTAATCTTGTGATTACTTGCATCAAAAAGATTTTATTATATTTCTTAACAATTCAAATGATTACAGTTTGATCTCTTAGGTTGCATGATTAAATATTAGTTCTGGTTAGAGGTGGCAAATGGATCGGTGGATTGTGATTGACGGATCCATAGATCAAGTGGATTGGACTAAATAGATTAGTGGATTCGTGGATTGGAGCATATGGATTAGTGGATTGATCCATGGGTCCAAATAACATCCAAGCCTTGGACCAAAATGTAAATTTTAAAAAGTTTAGGTACTAAAATGTCATAATTAAAAATTTTAGATACCAAACGTAATTTTCCAATGAGATTTTTAGTATAAAAATATATTTTAGGTACCAAAATATAAAATATAAAAGATTAGGTACTAAAATGTAATTTGTCATTTTGAATTCATGGATCAATCCATGAATCCACCAATCTAATTGGATTTGGATAAAATGGATTGGATTTAAATGGATTGGATTAGTTGGATATTTAAGTGGATGGATTGGATTGAGAATTGTCGCCTCTAATTCTGAGGATTGATATACATGTTTTGTTATAATTAATAACATCAAATATACTTTATCCTAATGATTGAACACTTGAAACGATAATAGTTTGAACTCATAGGTCATAGGTTCAAAGTCATGATGATTGGTATACATGTTTATTTAGTTTTATTTTAATGTAATTAATAACTTAAAATGTTAAAATCATAAATGACATGGAAAAATGTGGAGCTTTCTTTGTCCTACGTGGCAAAAACTTTCTCCACAATAGTCATAATATAAGTCAGGACAAAGGATAGATACACGTACTAATTTATCAAAGAGCGTAGGTCGAGGTAGATCGAACAATATGAATATGTAATTTCAATTGAAAATATAATATATAGTTAAAGTATGAGGTAATAAAAATAAAATCTAATTAAATTAAGTATAATGACAAATAATTGAGAATATGAATATGTAATTTCCATACTCTGGCGCATATGGAGATCCCGGAATTGGGTGGTGTTTGAAGGGAAACAGTATGGGGTCCCTGCTCTGATGCGTCAGTTTGCGCAGCAGTATGAGGAATGAGTGCGGCTTCCGAGGGATAGCGTCCTTCCCGTAAGTGCCCCTACAGCTCATCGGACTACCCAGGAGGATATGGATGCGTATATTTGTCGTTGGGATGGGGCTACGAGGAGGGGATCGCATTCAGCAGGGGGCATGGTGCTTATGTCGCCTAATCACGAGGTCCTTTGGGCGGCTGGGGTCCGTTTCCCGATTATTGATGACCCGCTCGTAGTGGAATTGCTTGTCCTCCGAGAGGCGATTCTTTGGTGTTGGGGGCAGGGCCGAATGAGAGTGCGTTTTGAAGGGGATGCCAAGGTGATCATCGACAAAATCAGGCAGGCTGATATGAGAGACAATAGGGTGGGTGCTGTGCTGGAGGAAGTTTCACAGTATTTTGCCAGTAACCCGGGGTTTAGTGTTCGATTTATAGGCCGCAGTAGCAATAGGGTAGCCCATATGGTGGCTAGAAAGGCCCTCTCTCTGTACCCGGCTATGACTCGTTTCTTTGACTTTAAGACCTGGCTGCTTTCCAGGGTGTAACTGTCTATCGTTTTTTGATATAATGAAAGATTATCTTTTGTCAAAAAAAAAAAAAAAGAGAATACACGACTGGCGAGGCCGAAAAATGTGCTCCATGCCCACCACATTCAAAACTAATCAAACAAATTGAGTGAAACGAATCTGTAGAAATTGACATCCCTCTATCTAACTAAATCCCGAGTCGAAACAAAATGTTAACATAAATTACATGAAGTCGTTTGGTGGGCATGTATTGTACCCCCTGATTTGTATAATACATGGTTTCTCCAATTTCAGTGTTTTTTTTGCTTCATAATTGGCTCAAAATCATGAGATTAGACCCAAATGCAATTGGAAAATACACAAGAATATGAATTGTACAATGCTTTGGGGTTTACCAATGCATTTCACAATTCAACCTAAATTTGTGGGCCCCTCCAATTTTATGGACTTTCTTGTCCTTATTAAAAACCTAAAATTCCAAATGCTGCCCCATTCTTGTTTTACCCAACAATGTTTTATTCCCCCATTTTATTTCTCTGATACGCATCTTCTTTCCCTTTCATGCTTTTCTCAAAACGCATCTTCTTTCCCTTATGTATGTGATGTATGATAAGTCATGCTATGTTTGATGCTTGTGGATTTTGTAACCGCTACTCAAAATGTTTATGTTGTAACATGCTCTGTATTTTATATCAGGGTGTGTAATGGCAGTTTGGATGGTGTAACAATGAAGTTTCTTGTTTCTGGTTTTGTTACAATAGCTAGATTTGTATGTGAATCTCCAACCAATCACCCAGCAGGCAACACTGCGCTTGGAAAAAACAAGATAAAAGGGCAACTTTGTAATTCTCTTATCTTCCCAGTACTTAAAAAAATAATCCCACAAATTTATTCGTCCACAATTCATGCAAACCAAACACTGCAATCTAACAATACATGAATTCTCACTATCCTACCTAGAAAATACATGTAATCATGAAACTCATGCATTATTCAATACATGCTCACCAAACGACCCCGAAAACACCTAACGTAACTTCGACCAAAAAATTTCAGTTTTGCATTACTCACTAATGAATTCATCCCCGGCCGCCATTGATTGAGTTGCTCTTTATAGGCCTTCAAAACACGTTCCCCAATCGGTTTCCACCATTCTTTCACCTCGTCGATTTACGCACCACGTACAGCATAATCTCCTCCCCCTGCATCCATTGCCACCACAAAACAGAGCATATACATATGCAATGAACAGAGGAGATGTGAAACAATGATCAGAATCATCATCAGAATTGTAATGACAAATTGGAGGAAGAAAAAAACAAAAAAACTCACGATCGTCCTGTCGACGCCATTAATCAAGCGAAACCCACTCATCGTCCATGGCGTCTTCCTCGTCCCCTTGCGCAGCAGAGCACCGTCACCATTCAACTCATCACCACAAAAGCAATACAGGCCCTTCATCGCTACTGTCTCTCCACCGTGGTTTCTGATCTCGCTATTTAATTTTAGTGACCATCTCCCATTCGGGGTGTCCCGGTTGATCTGAATTCCTCTCCGAACCTTGCTTTTCGGCGGCCCGAATACGTACACCCTCCCATCGTCGTGGCAGTGGATGTTCTCCTTTGTATTAGCTACAACAAGTAAACCCCCGCGCAACGGTAAAAAAAATTCCTCATGGCATTCCAAATTTGGAACAGCATTCAAAGAGTTAGCACGAAAGTGTTTACCTGAACTGAGATCCTCTGGGTCGGAATCGAAGAAATCGAAAACAGAGTCATCTTCGCTCTCGATTTTGAGCTTCAGCAAACCCAGCAAGTCGGCTTCGGTGGGTTCGAATCCGATTCCTAGGGGGAGGGACTCTTCCAATAAGTTGGCCATCGTGAAAAGGGTTTTCTTCACTTCAGGGAAGGTTTTTCTGAAGGAAGAAGAAGAACAGAGCATATGCCTATTTATAAATGCGGATGGGCGGATGGCTGTAAAGGGTTTTTTTGTACGTAATAGAGACGGAAACCTCACAATTTGGGGCGATTGTCGTTTGTTGGGTTGCAGAAAACAGGCCCATGGGCTTTTTTATTTGGAGCCCACACGGAGGGTCTCTTTGATGGACCCATCTGTGGGGAAGAATGGGCCCATTTCCATGTGTCTGTCGTGTTCTTCCGCTCCTCTGGGTCGGAATCAAAGAAGAGTCCACAAGGTCTCGGCCCATATCGGCTACCAACAGACAACAAATAGACAAAGGAGGATTTTGTACCCAAACAGTGTGATGACTGATGATCCCATTTTGATCCAGAGCGAGCGTCCTCCGGCGCTTATTCGTTTTCCATTAACGGAGATGGCTCTCTAGTCTCTGCTCGCTCCTTTGCATTTCCATTTCTTCACCCGCCTTTCTCTTCCCTTCCGATCTCTCTCTCGGATTCCGTCGCCGGCCGGTTGTTCGCGTGCTTTAAACCCTTACAACCCTTAGCACTACATCTTTCTTGCTGTTCGAAACCCTAATTTCTTCTGGTCCCTAGCTCTCTCGCCATGTCGAAAAGGGTCAAGGAGAATGAAGCAAGCTCTTCGGAAGAGGAGTCGACGGAGCTATCGCTTAGGCTGCCAGTGGGCTTTCTCAAGGATGTGTCTGATTTGTTCTTGCTTTCTCTGCCTAGGGCTTGCTTTCTCTGCCGATTCCGCGCGGTCTCGAAGTCATGGCAGACTCGCTTCTTGGATCCCAAATTCATCAAGAAGTTCATCTTCCAGAACACCGACCTCTGGAACGATCCTCAGCTTCTGATCCAGCGCCCGCCAGAACGGAAGGTCAGTTTACTCTCTACATTCTCATCGGACGCTCCGTCTCATCTCCGGTCCGGCTCAACTGGAAGAATTAGAATTGGTTTCCGGTAACTTCGAGGTTCGTTGCTGCTGTAAGGGTGTCTTCTGCCTTGCCGATGGAGATGGCAGCGGCTTATCGAATATCATTCTCTGGAATCCAGCAACGGCGCAGACGAAGCTTCTGCCGATTTCAACTTTGGGTGGGAATGCGTATGCCCGGAGGCGTGAGGCGATCGGGTTTGGTTTCGACCCCGAAAAGAATGACTACAAAGTCGTTCGGACTCTGCTTTGCTTTACCGCTGATGAGGACATCGATGAATTTAGTGAGGTCTACAGCCTTAAAAATGATTCATGGAGGATTCTTGCAATTCAAAAGGCTCATAGTTATCCTCACACACTCCATTACTCGGTGCCATCTGATGATGGTAGATTCTGCTACTGGTGGGGACCAAAGCTGGAGTTCACTTCGTTTGATATGAGGAGTGAACAGTTTGAGGATGTACATCTAATATATCCTGATGCATCGATGCAGACAGCCTTCTCCGTGAGATCCGTTTCCTTGGTCAAAGGCTCAACCGTTGTCATATTTTCCGACGACAGTATTGATCGTCTTGCACCCAATGAGTTGCAGACATGGGTGACATTGGATTTTGAAGATATAAACGGCGGCTTGACAATGTTGTCCACCATTAAGAGCACCAAGCTGAATAAGTGCATGCATCCGGTGGGAATATGGAAGGACAAGAGGTGTTTCCTCCAGAGATATGATGATGGACAGCTCGTGGTCGTCGATCTTGAAAAAGGAGAAGTCCTTCCCATTGAACTTCAGATTCAAGGAGATTGGGAATCATTCAAAATCTTCCATTATACTCCATGTGAAGTTTCGTTGGAGTAGTTGATCTTAGATTCCCTACTTTCTTGACATGGCGGACTTGTCAAAGAAACTCTTATATCGGTTCAAGTTTCTAGATCCAAAGTCTTAGATTTGCGTTTTGTCATTTTGCATTGTAGTAGTTAGCGTTGTTCTAGTAAGTATTGTTTGTGGGTTGTTAAGCCTTGTAGTAGTCAGTGTTGTGTTAACATCAGCCTAATTGTAGTAGTTAACATTGTACGTAATTGTTAGCGTTGCTTAGGAGATGGTGATCACTGTTGTAATAGCATGCTGAAATTGCAGACCTATTTTGGTTATCAAATGCAAATTGCTGAAGTATTATCATCAATCTAGCTGTATGTCTGTTTGGTTGAATTAGTAGATGTGAAGCATTTGTCTGGAATTATGTATGTGCTCTAATAAAGCAGCAGAGAAATTTGAAGCTGAAACAAACAACAGTTTTTGAGTCTTGAGATACTAGTTGTGATTGGAGAAGCCTTTAGAATGTGATTGCCGTGCCCTTGCATTGGTATGATCTTCCTGGTCATAGGGAGACATGGAAGGAGTATACCATATTAAGCAATATACTTGCTAATTAGAAAGAAAGCCCTTGATGGCTGCGTCAAATTCTTAGATGGTGAAGTTGTAATACTCTGAATATTGTAGGCGTGATCGCAACAAAGTTGTGGAGATTTTGGTGAAGGACCTGAACCTGTTTGCTGCATCGTATGCTCTGTTTAAGGAAATTGCAGTCGTTTGGTTAGAGAAGTTTAGGTGTCCCTTGCTGCTTACTATCTTTGGTGGTGCTTCCATTGTTTGATGAAGTATTGACAAGTATGCATGGAGATTGCTTTCCTACTTGTGCTTCCATGTGTGTTCCATCCCATGAAAACTGAGCTCCTACCTCTGTTTCAAGTCATGGAGTGCTACAATCTTGTTGTTATTTTTCAACTCTATTAGGTTAATAATCTGCATGTTGCATATGTCGGCCCCAGCCACGAGCTTAGTTCCGTCCTACTCGTCTGATGATCTGCCTATGAATGTCTATGGTTTTTACTTAAGGGCCAGCATTGAAGAGTATGGACTTCCTTCCATTGTTGCATATTTTACTTCTTGGTAAGCGTATGTGTGGATTGGCTAAATTTCAGTCTTTGCTTGTCAATTTTTGGAATGTGAATCAAATTTAGATACCTTGGATACTAAGTCTTCTGCCATCTGAGCTGCTGTTGACCGGTACATTTCATGTATTTGATGGAAAGGATGACGTTTCAGGTTCTCATGATGGCATTTTGTTCCTGAAGCTCGACTTACTTCGATGTTTGAGAAGATTCTTTTTGGTTCATATGTTGCTTGCTTATTGAGTGCATTTAGGGTTTTCCATAGCTAAGTGCTTTTGTCCCTTCTGTTGGCACAAACATGGGTGATGAAGTCATCGTATGAGATCTTGGAGCATATTCAATAGGGTTATCGATTTGCATTTGTAGGAATTTGTTGCTAATGATTATACAACATCAGTGAATCGTGTCATGTGGAGTCTTGATTGAGCTCTATTTCGTATACTGTCATTCCACTTCTGAGGAACTAATGTTGTGCTTTTATGATATCTCTTCGATGTTTTATATAATTTAGGCTAGTCGAGTCTTCGAGTCATGCTAGTAAAGCTACATTGTGAATCGTTGGTTAGCCTGATGAAGTCCGGTTGCAACGCTGGAATGGTTTGGCACTGTGTTTATTGTCTTTGGGTTCTTGTCATTGTTTCATAGTGGCTCGAATCCGACTCTTCTCGACTACAACCATTTTTTGGTCCATGCTTCTCTGGCTAAATTACACATTTGGTCACTCAAATTATACAAATCTTTCACGTTTGCCACCCGAATTACTTTTATTTCTTATTCATCACTAACTTTACGAATCGTTTCACCATTAGTCACTGGCCGTTACACTTCATTAAATTTGTCCTACGTGGCAGTCCACTATAAAGTTTGACTGTTAACTAGATGACGTGGAAATTTTAAAAATAAAAAATAAATATATTTTTTCCACCTAATCATTCCACTTACTTTGTCTATGTGACTTATCATAAAAATTATTTAATAAAAGTTAATTAAATTACCAAAATTAATTAAATTATTATACGTAGAGACCCGAATCAATGGACCACCCGGTTTCCTCCTTGAATTATTAAAGTTGCACACTTTTCCCCAGTTTCCACTTTCCACATGTCTCTCTTCTTCTTTTTCCCTCTGTTTGGTAGCGCTCAGAAACAGAGACCAAATTTGAATCAGGGAAAAAGAGAAAGCAAACAGCTTTTTCCCCTTCCTTCACTCATATCTTTGAACTCTATTCGTTGTTCCTTACTTTCTCCGACGAAGGATTGATGTTATGGGGCAAAGCTCTGCACCTCCACCATAATAGAGAATGCGTCGAGTTCCACATCCACAACTTAATCTCCGCGATGCCTGCGGCGACCGAGGCCATCAATATCGCCGGTGAATTCTCCAGCCCTGATTAGGAAGACACCCACAGGAAAAGGAAGTTGGTCATCACCGGTGGATTCTGCTGAACATGCTGAAGGGAAAGAACTCCAGCTTCTGGTCGATGAAGCCGTATTGGCAGTTGGGCGATCTAATAGTGAAGAGACTGGAAGGGAACTGGAAGCGTTTCCCCAGTTCGATTCTAGTCGGTTAGAGAGATTACCAGGTGAAGCGAAGGCTCGGGAGGGAGCCAGTTCATGGAGATTCAATGGCTTGGTGGTGAAACCTTCGCCATCAGGCGTTCCTTGATCGACAATGTTGACCCTATGGTTCCTGGGATTTCTCGACTTTCGTCGCGGTCCCATCCCAACATTCTGCAATTGCTCTGTGGGTTCACCAACGAGGACAAGAAAGAGTGTTTCTTGGTGACGGAACTGATGAGTTGCAGAGACATCGAGAGCTACATCAAGAAAGTATGTGGGTCGAGGAACAAGTGACTACCCTTTTCGCTCCCCGTCGCCATTGATGTAATGTTGGAGATTGCTCGAGGGATGGAGTGTCTCCAGTCCGAGAAAATTTACCACGGGAATTTGGAAGCTTCAAACATTCTCGTCAAGCAGAGAACTTCAACCCCAGCAGCAGGGGAAGGGTACCTTTCTCTATCATCAGGTCATCGACGACTTCCTTCCTCGCCTCCAAGCTCGCCGGGCTCCCTATAGTCGCCGTCAAGTATCAGTTCCCCGACATCGGTGCACGGCAACCATCGGGTTTCTTCGCCGACGTAGTGGCGGATATTCTAATTTAATTTTTTTTAACTTAATTTTTCTATTAAATAATTAATATGATAAATCATATATATGTATATATGGCAATATATATATATATATAAAGTAAGTGGATAATGAGGTGGACAAATAAATTTTTTATATATATATTTTTTATTTCCACGTCATCTAGTTAACGGAGTGTAACGGCCGGTGACTAATGGTGAAATGATTCGTAAAGTTAGTGGTGAATAAGAAAGAAAAGTAATTCGGGTGGCAAACGTGAAAAAATTCTATAATTTGAGTGACCAAACGTGTAATTTAGCCATGCTTCTCTCTTATTAGCTAGCTTGGTGGTCCAACGAGCTTCTATGGACTTGGGTTTAGGAGAATTATTTGAAAGGAATAGGGGTTGAATTTAGGGTGAAAGATGAGATTTTAGAAGAGGGGATTTGAGAGGGAGATTAGGCACTAATTGGGATTGGAGAGGGAGATTAGGCACTAATTTCTATTTGTTTAATGATCTTTTACTATAAATTCTAGAAATATAGAATGCATTTGGGCACTAGGTCAGATTTGGTAATACAAGATTAAGGGGTTGTTTGCTTCAAGGATTTGGATGTGGGATTTGGTTCTCAAATCCCATACATGAAGGATTTGTCCAAAAGCTATTGTTTGTTGAGCCAAAATGGAGGGTACCAAATCCGTGGGGTCCACTGATTTGGGGCTCCAAATCCGTGGGCCCCACGGATTTATAAATCCCATCTCATACCCTGGGATTTTGAGACAAGCTGAAAACCCATCAAATCCATGATAAAAATAGCTCAACAAACAAAAAATTTCCTCAAATCCATAATGTCCAAAATCCCTAATAAATCCCAAGGTTTTTAATTAGCAAATCCATGACAAAACCCTCGTTATAAAATCCTTGAAGCAAACAACCCCTAAGACATGGTACATGAGCGAAATATATGAATCGATCGGCACAAGCGCTTATTAATTAATTAATTAATTAATGACACAAGTTTAATTCACTGTTGCATACGACAAAATAGCCAATTACCATTTTTATCGGAAGAATGCCACAGATTACTGTTCACTAATGTTTGTAATTATACTATGCGGTCCACTTTATAATTGACCCGACTGGCCACTGAAAATTGTTTGTGGCCTACGGCTTGTGCGGCTCTCCAAGTGGTGTAGGACCGCGGGTTACTTCTCTAATCAGTTTTGTGGACCTCAATTTGAATTATAAAGGTTTATGTACATTATATGTTAATAAAATGCAATACTTTTTATTATTTGATTTATTATTAGAACACACATTACCTAAGATTTATGTAATACCGTTATATAACAATTACGTAATTTATAAATTTATTAACGTAAAACTTATTGACTGGAATGATAGTTATTTATTCCGTATCAATTAAGCGTATGTTTTCTAAAATAGTTAAAACACTATGTATAAAACTTATGAATGGATAGTTATTTCTTATGTATCACTCAAACAAAACGTGATACAAGTATATAGCAAGTCTTTCATAATATAAGTTTGAATAAAAATTAGTTTACTATTAAGTAAACCGTTGATCAGCCCATAAATGTGTATTACATAAAGATTCTGTAAAGTTAGTTATTATTTTTATAATAGTTTAATCAAATATGATATAATTTGTAAATTAACTATTGTATTAGTGTTACTTACAATATTCCCCATGTTAGCAATTTGCATTACATAAAGTTTTATGTAAGGTATGCTAACCTTTACATAATTTTTTAATCAAATGTGATATTTTTATGTTACTTTTATTATTATATCACACATCCCATAAGATTTATGTAAAACGGTTGTATAACCGTTACGTAAACTATATATACATTGCTTTGAACTTATGAAGAGATAATATTTATTATGTATCAATTAGATAAACTTATTATGCAAACTTCTTATAATGATTAAAAAATTACGTAAATCTTATAGAGTATCTTAGCCTTTTCTTACAATCCAACTAAATAATTAAATGAACAAATGAATTTTTAAATATAATAACTTTCTTACCGCTGCAAAGCGCGAGCCAAAACAATCAAGCACATAACTTATCGTTGGTTTAACATCTTGTTGACTAGCACATTTTACATTTTTTTTTCTTATTTGGCTTGAAATGGTCGTATTATTATTTTTCGTATCTTGCTACTTTTATTTAATATCTATGGAAAAAAAAATCAATCACATAATCTGAAGAAGAAAAAAAAAAATCAATCACATATGAAAATGAACAACCAAACCGCTAATTTCAAGAGAAAATTCCACCATCCACACACTCCAAAACTACAACATAATAATAAACAGAGTATGTGCTCTGTTCCTACAAAATCCTCTGTTTCCCCTGTCTCCTCCGTCTAAACCCCATTTTCAGCTGGCCTCTTCCGGTTGTTGAACACCAAAAGCGCATCACTCAAATACCCACTCGGCGAAACCTCGCCATTCCCGTTGCTCTGTTCTCCCCACTCGTAATAACTCCCCTGCTGCTGCCAACCCCCATTTTCAACGACAGCATTGTTACCAAACCGCATCGTCCCGTTTCCGCAGCCGTTTTGCTGATAGTTCGTGTTGAAACCGGGCGCCTGGAAGGCCGTCGCCGCCAGCGGCGGCGGAAGAGGAGGAGGGTAGAAAGATTGGTTGTATTCATGTAATGGGTAGGATTGGTATATGGGAATTGCTCCGTTGATCGTTTGGTTTTGGTGATGAGGAAAACAGGGTTGTTGATGAAAGTGATGGTGAGATGGGGAGAAGCCATTAGTGACGAGGTTTTGGTTTTGAGGAGGAGGAGGAGGAGAAACAGAGGAACAACCGCTGATGGATTGATCGCCATTCCCGCCATAGATGACTTCTTCCTCTTCCGAGCTTGAAGATCTTCTGTAGCCAGTCTCATCCTTCTTGGTTCCCTTCTGATCAAAATTGTACACCACACACAACGCCATCTCCGTCTGCAACAACAAACAAAATTTGTAGTATGTATTCTCCATATACAGAGACAAGAAAAAGGTACAAAACTCTGTTCTAACAGAGATCATCATTATGCTGCTGATGTGACGGTTTCTGGTAGTCATTACAGAAATTGTCACATCAGCAACATAGGGGAAAACAAATACTAAACCATCGAAAAATGGCGACATAGATATGACTTATGTGGACGTATTATGTGACACGTATAAGACGACGAAGAGAGTTTTGTGATTCGAATTAGAGGTAAAAACTCACATTGATGCCACCGTCGATTTTCGTCACCGTTGGAGAGATCAGACGATATTCTTGCATGAGCCATTTGGTCTTGAGCTCCTTCTTGGAGGCATCACAATTGCCGTTGTTTTTGTTGTCGTCGTCGCCATTGGAAGGTTTACCGCAGGGTTTCCCATGGAAGGCCAGTGAGGCCTTGGTTGCGACTTTCACTCCCTTGCTGTTCTCGATGTGGTCGGTCTCTTTGCTCTTGCTCCCGCTCAGTTTCCAGTGCCCGCTTGGGGCCACGCCTCTCTCCATCTTCTTCCCCGACTCGTTCTGCCACTTCAGTTGCGAGAATATGTACATCTTCCCGTCGTGGTGACGATAACCTTCACTCACTATCGTTGTCAAAACGAACAATGTAAAAAAAAAAAGAAGGAAATCACTTGTTGTAATAACTCTGTAAGTTCATCGTATTAATTGAACCAAATCTTCAAGAAACCCTAATGGGTTAATATTTAGAGATTAATTAATCTGACCTTTGCTTTCGTTAATGACAAACTAAGTCCACCCTAAACTACTTTCAAATAGATCATACATCACGAAGGTTTACTATCTACCCCAAACATAATTGCAAACCCTAACTTACTAATGTTCGAAACCAAATATCAACAATAACGATACGAAGTTTCAACCTTATAAAAAAAAAAAAACAATACGAAGATTCAAATATTGGACCGACATTTCGTACAAAAGACCTTCAGAAAAACACGAAACAATACCGAGAACGAGAATGAGTGATATCGAACCGTACTTGAATGCAGATTCTCAGGATGACATGTGTACACATCAAAATCACACGTGATCCCCGAAAATTTCTCCTCTGGACTAGCGATTTTGGTCTCGAGCAAATCCACCAGATCAGTATCGCTCGGAGCAAATTTCACTCCTATTGGAAGGATTTTCGTCATTGTATCCCATTTGACTCCTTGCAAACATCTCTTCAGCTCATCAACAGCTTCTTTCCCAGCCTTCTGCTGCCTCTGTTCTTCTTCTTCTTTTTCTACTTCTTGTCGATGGACCGTATTCTGGTCCATGATTCTTGGAACCTAGACGGTGCAATTTTCTGTTATTACAGCAACGTATTCCAGGTAATATATATGCTGTTTGATCCTTATAACACACGTGGTAAACATATATATTTTTCACTAATTAGAAAAGGATTAGAATTTCTATTTTCCTATGGTGTTATTACAAATATATAATATATAATTGTATAATATATTTTTCTTTCTCGAGAAAGTAGCGTGTATATTGAGAAATTATGGATGAATTTATTTAATTAATTATCAATCTGGATAACTGTTCTTGATTTTATTAATACACGATGTCTGACTGAAAGAAAATTAAAAAAAAAAGTGTACATAATTGTAAACTTATTGGGACATGACATAAAAGTTTGCGTAGGAGAACCAAGTCAATATTAATCAACCTCCCTTATGGCTTTGAGCTAATTACTCATCAATTAAGCAAGTGGCTTCTTTAGCCTTGCCAAGACTTGACTGATACTCGGTCTCTCTTGCGGCGAGTCTGAAGAACAAGCGACGCCTATATCGAGAATTGAAGTCGCGACCTTCTCCGATACTCGACCAATGAGCAGTTCATTGAGCAGAATCGGATCCAAAACTTCATGCAGGAGCTGATGCTGTTGGGATAAACCATTTTGGACAAAGTTCTGAAGGCTCAAACCGTCTCTGAAAATCTCGTCGGTAGGTCTTCTTCCGGTGAATAGTTCAAGCAGCAGGATCCCGTAACTGTACACGTCACCTTGTGTCGATACTTCATTTCCCATACCGTATTCTACAATCGAAACAAATCAATCGTGTCAGGAAAGGAAAAAATTAGCAATGGAAGGCAGGAGGATCTCGTAACTGAACACATCACCTGGTGGAGCATAGCCAACTGTTCCCTTTATGCCAATGGAGCTCGAAATCGAGCTCGTTGCAGAAGGATTGTTGAATGATGACAGAAGAAATCTTGCTAGCCCGAAATCGCCAACACGACCTGTCTTCTCCTCGTCGAGAAGAATGTTACTCGGCTTGAGATCACAATGAACAATAGGCGTTTCACATTGATGGTGAAGATAATCCAATGCATAAACTATGTCGACTGCAATATTTAACCTCTGGCGGAAGTTCAAGCTCCTTGAAGTCTCATCACTATTATTCTCCACAGGATGCAGCCAATCTTCCAAGCTTCCATTCTCCATGAACTCATACACTAGAGCCTTGAAATCATTCCCTCGATGATCGATTCCTGAACACACCGTCACGATCCTGACAAGATTCCTGTGCCTGATGCTCTTCAGGGCTTCACACTCTGCCACGAAACTCTTACCAGCTCCACGACGCTGAAGATTGAATACCTTCACAGCTACCATCCCTCCATTGTCAAGAACTCCTTTGTACACAGAGCCAAAGCTTCCCAAACCGATCAGACTTGTTTCTGAGAAGCCATCTGTAGCTTTGAAGAGATTCTGATAAGATAGCTGCTGCATTCCTGAATCACCATCTGAAACTGTATCTGGGTTCCCTCTCTTTTTAATCCAAAATACAATCAAGCAAGAACCCATGAAGGTTATTGAAAGCAGGATCAGTAGTACTAATACAACAACCTTCCACTTATGACTCAGTTTCTTCTTTGGAGGCATGAAGTGACAAGGTGGAAGGCTGAAGTGGAAGGTTGTTGAATTAGTACCTCCACAAAGTTTGCTATTTCCCATGATTGAAATGATGCTACCATTTTTCAAGACTCCTCCTTGTGGCACTTCACCCTCGAAATCGTTGTACGACATGTTCAGAACCTCCATATATTTCATGTCCTCGAAAAATTTCGGGATTCTGCCTGACAAATTATTGACAGAGACATCAAAGTGTTCTATGCCCTTCAATGAACTTAAAGAAGAAGGAATTGGCCCTTGAAAGAGGTTTTCTTGTAAGTTCACTAACTCCAACCTGACACAACTACCAAGACTGTTAGGAATACTTCCTGACAATATGTTATGAGATAGATCTAATGTACCCAAGTTCTTCAGGTTTCCCACTTCTGCAGAAACAGCACCTGAGAAACGATCGTGAGACAGGTTCAGGAAACGTGCCAAAGAAGTAATCCCCATGACTTGTTGGGGGATGACGCCACTGAGATTGTTGTCAGAAAGGTCCAAACCTATCAGATTCTGACAATTCCCAATGGTGGCAGGAATTCCTCCCTGTATCTGGTTAGCAGCTAGGCTCAGGAAAACCAACCTGGTTAAGTTTCCAAAACCTGACGGAATGGATCCTGAAATGTTGTTATGGCTCAAATCCAAGCTCTCTAGGGATTTTAAGTCTCCAATGTTGGACGAGATCGTACCGGAGAGACGAGTATGAGATGCCTCAAACATCTGCAGATTGACAAGGTTGTGTATCCCATCTGGAATGCTTCCTGATATCTTGGTGGCAGTCAGGTTCAGAAACTTCAGGCTGGTCGACAGGTTGGTGATGCTGTCAGGAAATTCGCCTCCAAAATCGTTGTCACCGATGAACAGGACTTCCAGGCCAGTGGCATTGGTCAAACAAGAGACGAATTTCAGATCGTCAGAGTACTCCCCATTACTCCCCAGAGAGTTCTGGTTGATCAGGAAGAGCCTCAGGTTCAGGGAGCTTGCCATGCAAGGCATCCTCCCTCTGAAGTGGTTCCCCTGCAGTTGCAGGGTAATCAAGTTTGTGGCATTTGATAAAGAATCAGGAACACTTCCTGTCAACTCATTAGAATCCACATCCAAGTTCTGAAGATTCAGGAGTGACGTTCCTAGGTCGTGGGGGAGACCACCACGAATTTGGTTGTGACCGAAAGCTAGATATGTCAGAGAAGAGAGGTTGAAAATGGGAGAAGGAATTTCACCGGACATGTTGTTGAGAGCTAGATCCAGAACCCCAAGACGCTCGAATCGTCCTAGTGTATCAGGAACTGCCCCGCTCAGTCGATTCTGGCCTAGCGAAAGTATCTCGAGCGACGAAAGGTTGCCAAAAGAAGGAGGGATGGTTCCTGTCAACATGTTCCGGTACACCCAAAACCCTTGGAGCTTGGCATTCCACAAAGTACTCGGAAGTGGCAACCTTCCCACCAGTTTGTTATTTCCGACATGGAAAATGGTGAGAGCAGAGGAGGCAGAGATGTTGGATGGGATCTCACCGGTGAGTGAGTTGTTGCCGAGGAACAACCGTTTTAATCTGCGCATATGGCCGATTTCAGGAGGGATTCCTTGGCTGAAACTGTTGTTGATGAGGGTGAGCTCCCACAGGAAGCTGAGGTTGCCAATGTGTGGCGAGATGGAGCCCGCGAGTTCTAGGGAGCGCAGGTCCAGAATCCTGACTCTGCCTGGGTGCCTTGTGGAACAAGAAACGCCGTACCACTGACAGAAGTGGGTTCCATGATCGGAGCGACCCCAGAGGGTCGCTGTAGATCATGGACTTGAACTCCAGCAACGCCATTCGATCTGTCTCGTTGCCGAGAACTATTCGAGAGGAGGCAGCAACGTTGGTGATCTGGAAGAAGGTGAAGCAGAACTGAAGAAAAAGTAGTAGTGGTAATGAAAACAAATTGGTTCCTGATGGAGACATGGTTCTTTCAGAGTGTGGTTTAATTTGCAATGCTGAATTCTGTTTCTTTAGCCACTTCAATTGTGTTATGGGAGCCATGGGGATATCACACTATTAATAGAAGTTGCTTGGGTTAAAGTATAATATTTTAAGACATAATGGAACGGATCATCAACCACTCAACTTTAACTATATTTGTTCTTGAGTATTTTTGTTTTCTTTTTTGTTATGAATCATTTGTTTGCATTAACAAAGTAAGGTAGCTCATGAATTACGAGATATTGCAATAATTTCAAAGTATAGATTAAATCCAGCTGAAAGAAAATTACAACAAAATGTAGGCAAGAGTCAGGTTAAGGTACGAGAGACGGTAAGATGAATGATTAGGGAGGATGAAAAGTTGGTTGCTCTGTCGAGCAAAAAATGATTGAATGCTTGTTCTTCTTGTCGATCTAGAGGAGCCTTGGTAAGAAACTCCAATTGATGCCAAATTTCACAACGTTGTGCATTACCTTGTCACTTGTATATATGTTGATTTTGAGTATTGGGTATATATTACGTTTTGATAATTTGATACGGCGAACAAGCTGAAGAAAGTTTACATATATATATACGATTAATTTTGAAAACCTATAAACAAGAAGATATATAAAACTGATGAAGTCAAATTATTTTAAGGAAATAAAAACTTATATATATTGATAATTAAATCAATATCAAAATATAATTTGAGAACGATCTAAACCAAGAGAAAATATAATAAATTATTTTTATTTATAAATGGGCTGTATTATTTCATTAAGATGTAGAAATAGTACAGGGAACCAAAGAAAAAAAAAACGTTTTGACCAGGGTAAAGAGAGACAGGAATCGTCCAAAGTCTTTCACCGACCAAATCAGTCTGGAGATCTGCATACAGACTTTCAAGTCCACTTCCCAAGCAACACCATATATAATCTCAAAGACCATGGAAATCTAAGAACATACTATAAAATATATGATCAGGCGTGCACTATGGGAAGAAGATCGAGTAATTTCCTGATTCCATCATCATGAATATGCAAAAAGTTTAATATATTGTTGTCAATAATAATGGAATGCACTGGGAAAATGACATTTCGAAAAAATCCTTAGAAATCAGTGATGGTGTCCCTTTGGCAGTGGCGGAGGGAGAGGGTAACAGGATGGGTCCCGGGACCCACCCTGGTTCGGGAGGAAAATGGTTAAATTAGGTACGATAATTAATTGATATCGAAAAATTAGGTCACGTTTAATTGACAATAGTAGTTTTGTGTTTGAATCTAGGCAACTTTATTTCTTAAGCATACGATATACATATTTGTGCAAACTTCAATTTCGTATAAGTTGATTTTCTTATGAGGGAGCATCCTAGTAAATGGTATCATATATATTATTGAATCTCTTCCAACAACTCGATTTGTTGATACTGAATGGTTTTTTATAAAGAACATTATTTGAAAGCTAAATGATGAATTATTGATTGGTGTATGATTTATTATTAAACCTCTATAAACAACTCGATTTATTGATACTAACGGTTCTTGACAAAGAACACCATTTGAAACAGTACAAGTGTACGACTAACTAAATCAATAATTGTTTGGTACGCAGAATGATATTCTTTTACTACTAATGCATTTTAGTTTATAAAAAAATTTCAATTTAAGATTATATTAACAAAAACTATTTGGACTTTGCTACGGTGACATGCATGGCACGGTGACATGCACTTTTCGGTCGACCTCATATAGGATCAGGTCGACCTAATATGTTGTTTCTGTGTAAAAACAGTTTCATGGTGCCTGCTTTGGAGATTCATATCTTATAATTGACTAGACGGAAATTGATGATTAAAGGCTTGTTTTGAAGCTGAAGTGTCCCTCTACATATTAAAGTACCTAGGAGCTCAATAGAAAGTCCAGAAGACAATTTTTGAACCTGACCAAAAGGCTATTCCAAAACTGGGAAACTGCCTGAAAATGGCTAAGTCTGGCAACGTGTTTGTCAAGCCTACTTTGGAGCTCAATTTGAGAAGCATGGATGCGAGTCAAGTCCAGGGGTCTCTACCACGTTAAATTACGTATTTTTTTATACAAAGGCAAGGCAATGGATGAAAGATTGAATATCTTTAAGGCTTCAAACAAAAGGCTCGAAGTTGCTACGAAGGCTGTTTTTCTGGCAGCTTGCTTGTGCTCGAAGTCTGCCAGAAAAACAGCCTTCATAGCAACTTCGACCCTTTTGTTTGAAGCCTTACAGATATCCAATCTTTCATCCAATGCCTTGAATTTGTATAAAAACATACCTAATTTAATGTGGTAGAGGCTTCTGGACTCGACTCGCATTCATGCTTCTCGAATTGTGCTCCAAAATCGGCTTCACAAACACGTTTCCAGACTTAGCCATTTCTAGGCAGTTTCCCAGTTTTGGCATAGCCTTTTGATGAGGTTCAAAAATGGTCTTCTGGACTTCCTATCGAGCTCTCAATCACTTCAATATATAGAGGGACACTCCAGCTTCAAAACAAGTCATTAGTCTTCAATTTCCATCTAGCCAATTGTATGATATGAATATCCAAAGTAGACACCATGAACTGTTTTTACACTGAAACAACATATTAGGTCGACCTGATCCTATATGAGGTCGACCGAATCCTAAATGAGGTCGACCAGATCCTATATGAGGTCGACCGAATTCTAAATGAGGTCGACCTAATCCTAACTGAGGTCGACCGGAAAGTGCAAGTCACCGTGACATGCATGTCACCGTAGGCACACCCAAACTATTTTATCATGTGTATTTTATTTTTAGGTGGACCCACCTTAAACGAAATCCTGGCTACGCCACTACCCTTTGGAATCTGTCAAAAATTGACCCGGAATAAATCCGCCCAAATCGATGCTTAATGGACTTAATCATCTTTGAAAAATAGCCTCAGACCGAATGCGTGATCTGTAGCCTTCAAAATCCAAAAAAAAAAAAACGGACTTTCAAAAAAATTGTCCAAAATTACGAAAATGCCCTCCAAAAAGATCCGTCCAAATTACCAATTAATAAACTTCATCATCACTGAAGAATAGCCACAGTCCGAATCTGTAGCTTTCAAAATCCAAAGAAAATGACATTTCGAAAAAATTGGCCAAAATCTCTGATGGATATTCCTTTGGAATCTGCCAAAAATGGACCCGAAAAAATCCACCCAAATTGCTGCTTAATAGACTTACTCATCGGTGAAAAATAGTCTTAGGCCGAATTCGCGATCTGTATCCTCAAAATCCAAGGAAAATGTCATTTCAAAAAATCGTACAAAATTACAAAAATGCCCTCCAAAAAAATCTGCCCAAATCGGCGACTAAAACACTTCATCATCAGTGGAGAATAGTCTCAGACACAATCCATTATCCACAGCCTTCAAAATCTAAGGAAAATGACATTTCAAAAGAATCTGCCGAAATCTGTGATGATACCCCTTTGGAATCTGCAAAAAATGAACCTGAAAAAAATCCACCCAAATCGGTGCTTAATAGACTTAATCATCGATGAAGAATAGCCTTAGGCCGAATGTGTGATCTGTATCCTTAAAATCCAAAGAAAATGGTCTTTCGAAAAAATCTTTGAAATCTGTGATGGTCCCCTTTGGAATATCAAAATGGACCCTGAAAAAATTTGTCCAAATCGATTCTTATAAGACTTAATTTTCAATGAAGAATAACATTAGGCCAAATTCGTGATCTGTATCCACAAAATCGAAAGAAAATAGCATTTCAAAAAAAATCCCGAAAAATTACAAAAATGCCCTTGGAAAAAAGTATGTCCAAGTCGGCTATTAAAACACTTCATGATCGGTGAAGAATAAACTTAGACCGAATTCGTTGTCTATAGCCTTCAAAATCCAAGAAAGATGACCTTTCGAAAAAATCGTAGGAAATATGTGATGGTACTCCTTTGGAATCTGCCAAAAATGGATGAGCAAAAATCCGCCAAAATTGGTGCTTAATAGACTTAATCATTGGTGACGAATAGCCTTAGGGCGAATCCGTGATCTGTATCCTCAAAATTCAAGTAAAATTCCTTTTTGAAAAACTCCACCGAAATTTGTGATGGTACCCCTTTGGAATATGCAAAAAATGAACCCTGAAAAAATCCGCACAAATTGGTACTTAATAGACTTTCTCACCGGTGGCGGTGATGAATAGCCTCAGGTCGAATCCGTGATCTGTAGTTTTCAAAAGGTAAGGAAACCGTGATTGATAGCATTCTAAATCCGAGAAATATTATTTTGTCGAAAATAGACCTGAAAATATCCACCAAAATCGGTGCTTAATATATTAATCATCGGTGAAAAATAGACTCAGATCGAATAAGTGAACTGTAACCTTCAAAATCCAAGAAAAATGATCGTTCGAAAAAATTGCATGAAATTTGTGATGGTACCCCTTTGGAATCTGCAAAAAATGGACCCGAAAAAAATCTGTCAAAATTGATGCTTAAAAGACTTATCATCGGTGGAGAATAGTCTCGAGTAAAATCTATGAGATTTATATCCTTCAAAATACAAAGAAAATGACCTTTCGAAAAAAATCACCCAAAAAATTACGTATCTGCCGCACATCGCTTTCAATGAATTAGAATAAAATTTCATATTCTGAAAATATTGAAAAACATTTTTTTTGTCCAAATAGCACGCAAATGTCACCTATGCCTTGTTCAACCTCATTGTTTATTCGGTTCCCTTGATCATTTTTTATATATTTATTTCATGGATGAAAATAATCTCTCTCCATTTGTTGTTGCAATGAGAAAAAAAAAAGTGTCGAAGTTAATAAGCAAATAAACAGATGAATATAATTTGTTGGGTTAATATTTATGTATGGTCTAAACTTTGACCAAAATAAACATCTTGGCTAAGCTTTTTGATCTAGAATATCCTATCCCGAACTATACATCAAAATAAACAATTTGGCCAGATCCGACTTTTGACCGTCAACATGGACAGTCAAACG